GCGGCCGGGCGGCGTAAACCTACCTTGTATACTTTACCTCAACCCCCTCGCCACGTGCTACTACTGTCAGCCCTTCAACAGGTTATGGGCCCAGCGATATTAAAGCTAAGTCTGTGCCAGGGTATCAAGCCTCTAAAAGTATTCTTGTGTTGTTCTAAAAAGTCCACGATGTCAGAAAAGAACGAGCTAGCCAATCAAGTCACATTAAAGAATGCAGCCACTTACCCCATATGGGCATTCCAAATAAAAATATTATTTGAGGCAAAGGACCTCCTTAAGTTCGTACATGGAACTGTCGCCATAGATGATGTGGAAGTAGCCCAGCAACCCCTCTGGAAGGAGGAGGATGCAAAGGCAAAGTTGTATATAGTTACACTCATAAGACAGTCAACCAATACCTTATGTCCTGTAGCACTGCCAAGGAAATGTATGATAAGCTAAAGAACATTTATGAAAAGGCTGCTGCGCATCAAAAGTGTCATCTGATGCAAGCCCTCCATTTCTGCAAATGGTCCAATCAGAAGACCGCTTTTGAAAACATAAGTGGAGTACAGCAGATAGCGCATCAATTAAACTCACTAGAATACGCTGTAGATGACACGGCTGTAATGACCAAAATTACTAGCATGCCCCAAAAACGGCAATGGAGGGGAGGCTGAGCGAGCAAGCGAGCCGCCGTGGCGAGCGGAGTGGGGGACGTCGGCGCTACTCCATGCGAGCGTGTCGAATGGGTGGCCTGCCTTAGAGTTCACATAAAATGTTGCTCGAAAATTGTGCTAACCACTATGGGGAAGCTGAGCCCGCTCCTACCGAATTCTCGGCACTCGGGGCTCGATGGTGGTGGCCTCTTGAGGGAAAATAAATATTCTGCTACGTCATGCAAGTTTTTAGGTGCGTTCACGCTCATGTCGCGTTGGGTGGCGTAATGTAGCGAACGCGTCAAAAACCACCCAGATTCATTCGCAAAACACAAGAATCAAGGAGGCTTTTGTCCCGTCCGCTTCACTGCGCCACCCAACGCGACATGAGCCTGAACGCACCTTCAAGCGTTCCATTCACTCATTTCACTTATAGGGTACTTCGGAGGACACCTAGACGGGAAGTCAGCGACACAACGGGAGAAACAGAAGAGCGTCGCGAGGCCGTGCTGAGCGGTGGTGGGGGCCGAAATCGGCGGAGTGGGGGGTGAAGGCGGCGCGCACATGCTGCCCCCACTCTGCCCATCCCGGCCCCACCACCGCTCAGCACGGCCTCGCGACGCTCTTTAGTTTCTCCCGTTCTGTCGCTGACTTCCGGTCTGGATTTCCTCTGACGTACCCTGATAGAATCTAACATAGATGGAATGCGGATGTCAGATGCGTTGCATCCGACCGCCGCCCCACTCCGAGCCCTACTGGTTCCGGTTTAGTTCTGTCTGGCTCAGTTCGTCATGCCCTTCTTCCAGAGTTTCGTTCGAAGTGTCTATTTTCAACTGCTAACTGGTCACACAACACAGGTCTGGACTAGATATATTCCTGGAACGGCCTTGATTGTTGGTTCTGCACTGCACGCATCGTTCAAGTTGTTTATTAGGGTCTACAAACGAATCCCTGGACCGGAAGTGCCGAAGCGCTGAAGTTGTTTGGTTCTTACTTTTGTTCGTTGACTTCCGGTCCAGGAATTCGTCTAAAAACCACATTGTAGGCTGTAACTGCGCAAATGTTGACAGAACTGCGCTATACCAGCATCAGTACACTGCAAATCCAAGTGGCGATTTGCTGTGCACGATATCGCTAATAGGGTATTTTTACGAATTCCTAGCCCGGAAGTCGAAGAAACAAAGTAAGAACAAGAACGGCTTCTGCGCAGACGCTTCCTCAGAGTGGAGGGGGGACGTGTGCGCCTGCGCTGAATCCGTTTTGGGTCTTGCTGTGGCTCTTTGACTTCCGGTCCAGGCATTCGTTATAATGCCCTAAAGACCATTGAGGTCGTCGCCGACCGAAATACAAAGGGTTGATTACGGCCGGATGTAGCGCCTGCAACACAACCTACGAGGGAATTAGTGTTTTCCGAAGCGTGATGTCATACGAAAGCATATCATCTGTTTCATATTGTTTTTGACAAAGGAAAGAATAAGAACTAGACCGTACTTCTACCGGAAACCGCGTTCACTGCCTACTCTCTATCACCCCGTGTTCCGGGTTTGTACTTTATCTTGTTCGCTACACTCTCATTCCGTGACATCACGTTGAAACGAACGTGACAAAGTGTCACGTTCGTTTGAGCATTGTGTCACGTTCGTTTGGATGTGAACGATCTGATTTTCGGCCAATTCCCACCCAGACGAATGTGACACAATGCTCAAACGAACGTGACAGTTTGTCACGTTCGTTTCAACGTGATGTCACGTTCCTGGAATGAGAGTGTAATAGAGTACGTCGGAGAAGAACTGGGGCGGAAGTTGAGAAGAAATCATGAAGAATAAAAGTCGGACTTGTATAGGGTACTTCGGAGAAAGCCTAGACCGGAAGTCAGCGACAGAACGGGAGAAACAAAAGAGCGTCGCGCAGCCGTGCCGAGCGGTGGTGGGGGTCGAAATCAGCGGAGTGGGGGTGAAGGCGGCGCGCGCATGCTACCCCCACTCTGCCCATACCGGCCCCCACCACCGCTCAGCACGGCTACGCGACGCTCTTTTGTTTCTCCCGTTCTGTCGCTGACTTCCGGTCTAGGGTGCCTCCGAAGTACCCTATTAGGTGTTCGGGAGCGGCAGAACGGCGACGCAGATGCTCATTCTCTCTAACTTCGCACACATTGTCCTTCATGATTTCTTCTCAAACAGCACCCTTTCCCTGGCGTCGTCTGTACTATGATTCTTTAACCTTTGCCCGGCCAAGATGTCGGGTAATCACTGAGATTCCAAACGCTATGAGTACACGGTAAAAACGCTTCCTGGGAATCCCAGGAATCTCCTGGAAACTCCTATACCCAATAACATAGGGCTCCTGGGAATCCCAGGTTTCGTTTTAACCGTGTATAGCACGTATGGTGCAATGCAGATGAGATATCGCACCATACGTGTAATACGATGGCCCTGTCGCACGTGCGATGCGTTCCGAAAATGCCCTATGCTAATGCATGGGAATAGGGAGGCATCGTACTGGGTCATTCCATGCCAAGTCAACCAGAGCCAAAGCCATGATGTCACCGATTTGGACCAAAGTTGGTGGATCGCCGTTAATTAGTGTTAAGATCGATGCCCTAAAATAGTTTTGGCCAATTTCCAATACTTCCGGAGATATAGCCATACCTCATTTTTGGCTATTTTGCCAAATGTAAAAACAGTGTTTCACTTAAGTGCCAATATCTTGGCTCCTATGAGACCTAGAGTGGTGATTCTGTGCTCATTCGAAAGGAAATGAAATTTCGCATAAAGTGGCGTCGGTTTGGTGTCGATAGATGTGAAAATAGGAAAGTTCACTCTAACGAAGAAACAGTGAACTTAACAGTGTAGTTCCCACCGAACGCCATCTTCGATTTTTGAAATTTTTGTCCTGAAGGTCCATTGAGGTCCCTACTTCATTGTCTTAAAGTATCTCAAGAAGTTCTTGGGTTTTGTGGTTTTTGTAGGGGGGAAAGTAAAACAGTGCACCCGAAAAATGGTGATTTTGCAGTGAAGGACCCGAATTAAGTGACATCAAAGGCAGCCAGCCCTATTCATAGACCGCCTGCTCCGTGTACAGGCAGCGACCGATATCTGAGGCCACTCCCTGATAGGTCGAGTTACTTCAAGCTCGAATCCTCGGATTTTGAACATGGCGAATGTAAATTTTGACTACATCATTCGGTTTATCTTGCCCTAATATATCAATGAGGAGTAGGCTAAAAGTATCCCAAACACACTGGTGAGCGGCGGGCTGTTGCCTACAAGGCAACTTGTTTCCACAGCTGTTGAGTAACTGCCTAGTATGCAGGAGAAGATGCAGCCACACTGTGAAAATTTGAGTCATTACTTGATGACAATTTCAAGGCTAATGTTCCTCACAAGGATGTCATCAAGTCAATTAATGATATTGTTCCCACGCCCATGCAATATGTATAGGAGCTTTGATGAAAATGTCATCAATTTGTGAGGAGATTGTCATTATTTCAAAGTGATCAAAATGTCATCCACGTTTTCGTCATAAAGTGACAACAAATTTTCACAGTACAGCCGCACACCTGTGTGTTTGGGCTACTATTTGCCTGCTTTTCTGGCAACCACTACCACATATCCTTAGTTGCCAACGCGAGCATGACGCAAGCGGTTTTCCTCTTGAAATTCTTCTCCTAATTCAAAATGTCGTTGCCCATGTTAGTTAACAAAAAGTTCTACCCCCCCCCTTTCCGAGGCCGCCTCTGGATCCGCCACTGCCACAGATGTTGAGCAACTGCCCTAGTATGCAGGATGGGACGCAGCCAGCCGCACACCTGTCATGTGTTTGGGCTACTATTTGCCTACTTTTCTGGCAACCACTTCCACATATCCTCAGTTGCCGACGCAAGCGGCTTTCCACCATAAATTTTTAACCGAGACTCTAGTAAGAGTATAATTCAAAAATCCTCGTCTCAAAGTCCATAACTTTTAATAACAGCTTTTAATTTTCAGAGCGTACTTGTAGAGCGGTGTAGTACACTTTACTTTTGGTTACTTGCAGTGGGTGAAAAATATGCTCACTTCGATGAGGATCTTATCGTTCAGCTTGATAATTAGACTTAGCCTTGGAGAAAATTTTACAGAGGAAAACCGCTTGCGTCATACTCGCGTCGGCAACCATGGATATGTGATAGCGGTTGCCAGAGAAGTAGGCAATTAGTAGCCCAAACACAGAGGTGTCCGGCTGGCTGCATCATCTCCTGCATACTAGGCAGTTAACAGCTGTGGAAATAAGTTGCCTTGTAGGCAACAGCCCGCCGCTCACCAGTGTGTTTGGGATACTTTTAGCCAACTCCTTATTGATATATTAGGGCAAGATAAACCGAATGATGTAGTCAAAATTTACATTCGCCATGTTCAAAATCCGAGGATTCGAGCTTGAAGTAACTCGACCTATCAGGGAGTGGCCTCAGATATCGGTCGCTGCCTGTACACGGAGCAGGCGGTCTATACATGGTTGGTGTCTGTGTACAAGGAAGGAGTTGAGCTAGAGTAACCAGATTTGGAGGGTACTTCAGGAGTACCGTCCAAACAAATAATCCGCACTGCAAAAAATTTGTTCGTAAATTTACAAACAAATTAGGGGTAATTTCGTTGCACGAATTATTTGTAAATATACAACGTTTTTATGTTTTTTATCGATTTATGAATTTTTCTTCACGCAGTAGTTTGTAAAATCACAAACTTTTTACAAGTTCCAATTTACGTGGATCACTTTTGTTCAACATTGTCACGCTGATTAAATGAAGATAAACTTGTTTCAATGCATTTTTTTTTTGTTCTATGAAACATCTTGTAGTTCTATGAGACATCTTGTAAAATGACGAAGGCATCACCCTATTTCGTAATTTTACAAGCGATTTGTGCAACGAAATTACCCATGAATTTGTTGTAAGTTTAGGAAACATTTCATATTTCTGTGACCTCACTGTAGTATTATCGTCACTTTTGAGATGTATTTAGTTCGTACCATTTCATGAAGCGATGTTCACAAACAAATTTCACAAAATTAAGAAGATTTCTGTGATGAATAATCCATAAATCGGCCTTTACAAATAAATTTCATAAAATAACGAAATGTTATTGTTACTTTACAAGGAATTTGTAAAATATAATTTCGTAAATTCACAATAATTTCTTACAGTGCGGTGGTGCAAATCCCGTCCGGGTCGCACAAGGGCTGCTGCAGGTGCATCATGGTTTACATGAGCGGGAGGGGTATTTCCGCCATTATTGGTGCTAGCAGGGCACATAGGGGTATTTTTGGAATCGGGGCGACGAGACAAGATGAATGGACCTGGTCCCGACCCCATCGGCCGCTTTTACAAGTTGGACAGATCAGGATCTTCAAAAAAGGGGGTCGACCGACTAAAAAAAATTATTGCAGATTTCGATTGGTCTGAGCAAGACCTTTTCAACGAGGAGTCGGAAAGGGGGTCCAGGAGCCCGACTTCGTCTATTAGTCACATCAGGATCTTGAAAAAAGGGGGTCGACCGACTGAAAATTTTTACTTAAGTTTTGGATAGGTCTTGGCAAAACCTCTTCAACGAGGGGTCGGAAGGGGGGTCCAGGAGCCCGCCTTCATGAGTTATGGGAAAAAGTGCGACGGACTCGTTTTGCGCTCCTGCTGTGCCTCTATTGCAAGGAGTTGCAGTGGCATGGCAAATATGGGTATTTTCGGAATGAGGGCGAAGAGACAAATGAAATGGGCATATTCTAAGGACAGTTGGAGTAAAAAGTGTAAGGACTATTGCATATTGTGAATAGAAGGGCGGGCCTAAGTCACGATGGTACATCGATAACTTTGCTTTACCCGCTCACGGTGTGTGTGATGCGAGCGGGCCGAAGGCCCGGGCCTTCTACTGGCCAAGTTGGGTCTGATGCGAGGGCCGAAGGCCCGAGGAAAGGCCGCCGGCAGGCCAAGCTGGGCCGGCCCCCTGTCGAACCGAGTTGCCGGCGCAGCGAAGCGGAGCTGGCAACTCGGTTCGACGGAAGGGCGGGCCCTAGCTTGTTAGTTTTGCACTTTTTGTCAATTTTGCCAGTTTTCTTCTAATTTTGCTATTTTTCTCTTTATTTTAGAATTATTACTCCAATTTTTATCGGACCACCTTTTCCTTTGAACTGGTCTTTACCTTTTGCCTACCGATGATTCAGTTCAATTCTGGTAGCATTTGGTCGCACGGGACGCTTGCTAGGACTTATTCCCCCGAAAATCGCATTTTAAACCACTGTGCTTTGATGTCACTTAATTCGGGTCCTTCACTGCAAAATCACCATTTTTTGGGTGCACTGTTTTACTTTCCCCCCTACAAAAACCACAAAACCCAAGAACTTCTTGAGATACTTAAAGACAATGAAGTAGGGACCTCAATGGACCTTCAGGACAAAAATTTCAAAAATCGAAGATGGCGTTCGGTGGGAACCACACTGTAAAGTTCACTGTTTCTTCGTTAGAGTGAACTTTCCTATTTTCACATCTATCGACACCAAACCGACGCTATTTTATGCGAAATTTTATTTCCTTTCGAATGAGCATAAAATCGCCACTCTAGGTCTCATAGGAGCCAAGATATTGGCACTTAAGTGAAACACTGTTTTTACATTTGGCAAAATAGCCAAAAATGAGGTATGGCTATATCTCCGGAAGTATTGGAAATTGGCCAAAACTATTTTAGGGCATCGATCTTAACACTAATTGACGGCGATCCACCAACTTTGGTCCAAATCGGTGACATCATGGCTTTGGCTCTGGTTGACTTGGCATGGAATGACCCTACTTCATTGCGATGCTTTTGTATCCACCAATTGACGCTATACTCATGGCGTTTGGATTCTTAGTGACGGCTTGTGATCCAGACCTACTCTGCCCTATCAGCGACCGGTTTCGCATTCGTTTCTAGCGGAAGCGTGACGGGGTGTCCGCGCGGCCGCGGCTGACGTCGAGCTCCACCTTTAAACGTCTCAAGCTTCCTTGACGCGGCTTTTGTTTCATACCTGCAGGACATCGGGTGTCAGTCGCGACTTTGCTTGGACAAACTAACGGCGTTCGCTATCCGTGGTTACCAACCTCCAGGTTTACAGTGCAGCGAAGATGGTAACGGTAATACGACATTGCGTTCACTTCAAACCCAACTGTCTTCTAAATACATACTAACAAATGCATGCTTGCAAGTTCACACTTACAAACGCATGCTTGCAAGCATCCATTTGTAAGTGTGCACTTAGTAGACAGATTGGCTTGCAGTGTTCACTTTTGAAGAAGTATTGACAAGGTGCTGATCGCGCGATCCAAGTATCTTCTCTTACAGTGCGACTGACAGTGTTCTGCCTTTTCATTGCAGCCACTCGCTGACATCAACATGCTGCCAGACCATACGCTGGAGCGTGTGTTTTTCTACTTGAACCCATTTGACCTTGGAAGGGTCTCACAGGTACGTGTTTTTTTTCTCCGTTGGGTCTTCAACGGACGAGGTCTGTTCCACGGTTAGCATAAGTTTTGGGCCCTGTAAAGAAAGATTCAAACATTTTGCATCAGTGCACTCTCATTCCAGGAACGTGACATCACATCGAAACGATTGTGACCAATAGTGTACTTCGGAGGAAATCCAGACCGGAAGTCAGGGACAGAACTCGATACAACAAAAGACTCGCGCGGCCGTGATGGGCATTGGTGGGGGCCGGAATGGGCAGAGTGGTGGTAACGTGCGCGCTCAACCTACACCCCCCCCCCCCCCCCTTCCGGAAACCGCTCAGCTCGGCGGCGCGCGGCGCGCTGCTCTTCTGTTTCTCCCGTTCTGTCGCTTGCTTCCAGTCAAGGTTTCCTCCGGAGTACCCTATTGTTACGTTCCTTTTAGCATGTTGTTAAATCTGTGTAAATAAACGAATTAAAGGCGTTCAATCGAATGTGACACAATGCTCAAAGGAATGTGACATTTGGTCACATACGCTTCAACGTTGTGTAACTTCCTGGAATGTGAAGCATGTCATGCATGAGACTGCGCAAATTCCCGTAAACTTAAGCGTTTCTACGCCTAATATTGTGCAAATTCCTCGTATGCTCAAAATCGTGCTAGTTGCTGCACGTACCAAAACTTTTCCATCGTCCTTTAGTGTGTACACAAATTAAGGGCGCGTCTTAGTTGTGCCGCTGAATGGTTCCAGGTGTGCACGCGCTGGAGCAAGCTGAGCGGCGCGCGCCGGCTGTGGTCCGGCCACCAGTTCCGCCACAAGCTGCGCGCCACGGCGGACTGCCTGCGCTCCATCCGCCTGCTGAGCCGCAGCCGCGGCGTGTTCCCTTACCACAAGGTGGAGGTGGCCTTGGACTCCGCACTCGGCCGCCACCAGATCTCAATCGGGGTACGCCTTGAAAGCTCACTTCAAAATCCTTGGGATGTATTTTCCGTCGTCGTATTTTTGAGAAGTATTCCTTTGCAACTTGCAAAAAGAATGCTTCGCAACGTTACATAACAATGCATTGCGATGTGGGAAACGTTTTTTCTCGCACTTTACGAACTATTTGTTTGCAACGCGAGGAAACTAGTTCGCTTGGGAGTTCGCAACACCTTTAGAAGTGTGTACTGTACTCAGTACTCATGTTTGTAGTGTACTTGTTTCTTGGGAGGACGTTGTTGAAGTAGCTTCATTTCGCTGCCAAAAAAAAAAAATTGCTCTGAAATTTGAATGAGCCTGAACGTCTAGTCTCGTCTCGACATGGTAAAACTTCAAGGTAACAGTGTCCGCGAGTCTAAACACAAAGTGTGTTCTTCCGACACATTTAATGTTACGCACCACAACATTGCTCTAAACGTTGCTGTTATTAATGCAGATTTACTTTTCGTTGTATTTTTGTGCGGACAAATTGGACAAATTTATCTTTTTTTGTCGGAAATCGCATATGAAGTTGTTGAGGAAGTTTATCTGCCTGTTCCTTGGTGTGGACAGTTTTAGCGCCGTTGAGTTGACTGTTCACACTAAATGTCATGTACAATTTTGTACGAGACATCAGTTTTTTGTGCACTCGAAATTTTCGTACGATTTTTGTACGAAAAACTGCACAATTTTCGCCATTTTTGTACCAAATTTATACAAAACTTCTTACAAATTTGTACTACAAGTTCGTGGGCACCAAAAACTGTGATGTCTCGTACAAAATTTATACTACAACATTTAGTGTGTTGACTTGGTTGTCGGTCTGCTGCAGCGCGATGCCGACCGGGTGACGGTGGCCACCGCCTCGCCCCTCACGATGCTGCTGAGCCTGCGGCACCTCGTCTGCGACCGCGTCACGACCCTCAAGGTGACGGTCTCGCAGATGGAGGCGCTGACGCCGTTCGAGGCCCAGGTGGTGTGGGAGACCATCGCCAGCAAGGAGAGACTCTCGGAGCTGTTCCTGACCCTCCACAGGTAAGCGCTCACTGTACAAATCGAAGAGCGTACAGTCAGCTCTGGTTAGCTGTCCCGACAACCGGGAGGCGCCGAGGACAGCTAACCAGAGGCCGGGCAGGTAGGCCCGGGCCCACCCCGGGGCCGGGGTAGCCGGTAATCCCTCGCCGGCCGGGGGTGGTGGGGGGTGTCTCTGGGACAGCTAACCAGGGGCCAACTCGGGACAGTTAACCAGAGCTGACTGTACATTGTATGCTCTAACTGGAGCTCTAACATGCCATGTACACGCTTCCTGATGCAGGCAACTCCCTATCCCTTATGCACTAGATGCATGCTTCAGTTAGCGTGTACATGGCATGTATGCACTATTAAGTGCATGCTTGGCAGGCATGCGCTGGCTAAAGCGTGCTTGCAGGCATGCTCCAGTTAGAGCATACAATGTACGCTCTTCAATTTGTAGAGCAGACAAAAAAGGTACGAAGTATGGCTTGGGGATACGAAGAAAACGAAAGCATCCCACAATCGGTGAAGCAAAATTCCACGTAATACGTGAGCCCTCGTTGTTTGTCCTGGAGTCGGGAGTTCCAACGGACAAACATCGAGGGACGGTGGTCGTTTCCCGCCGTAATCCCTACCTGGAAAGGGTTAGCTCCGGGCGGCGGCCTGCCGGTGGGGCCTGGCTGGAGCCAAGGTGGTGGGGATGACTCGGGGACAAACAACATTGGACTAAACGGGACCATAAACAATCAATTATATACATAGACCAACTGCTACATGCCCAGGCTGGTTGAAGCCATGTGTAACGCCGCTCCCTGATTTTTAAAATGAACTTTATCTTCAGACCCTCAGAGGAAGTTTTATGGAGGAACGCACCGCTCGTGCCGACAACTGATTGTTTCTTTTTTCACTTGGTATTTTACCAACAAGTTTTACTCAAAAAACTAGAAGAGCCAGAAACATAGATTTGAACAGGCTGAATGTAATCAGGCCACCCAAATTGACATTTGTCGAGTTTTTAACCTCGAAATGTTGAAGTGAAAGGTACCGACCAATCAGGGAGCGGCGCAACACATGGCCTCCAGCCTGGGTGTGAAGCAGTTGGTCTATGGATATAGTTGATTGGCTATGACGGGACAAACAACGACGGCTATTGTAAAATGCGTTCAATTCCAATTGCAAGGTAGATGCCTCGTAGACTGTTTGGAAAGCGTCGGTGGAGAAGGGGGTGGGAAAAGAGAGACAACTTCCTTCTCATCATTTTTCTTGGGAAATTTTAGGCCTCGGTATAGGAAATTGGCTTTTACTCTGGATCGAAGTCTTCCCAGTCCACCAAATTGGAAAGCGGACATGCATCCACCCTAAACTCACGTGCTTCAATAATCATTCACTTTTATTTCGCCTAACAGTGCCCCCTTAATTTAACTTTCGTGTCTGTAATCTGCCTCTGGTTTGCAGGGGTGGTGCCATGTTCCTGTGTCCGTTCGAGTGGCCCCAGCGGGGTTTTGTTACCCAGGTGACCTTTAAGGCACTTGGGAACGCCCCGTCGGGATCTTCCGTCTGCGCTCCCGTCCGGTCGCTTCTGGAAATGCACCGCTACCAGCTCAAGTTGTTGTACGTCGTGAATGAGGTGAGGACGAGTTGGTTGGGTGGGTGCAATGTGGGGTTTGCTACTCAGTCAACGCTAGTTTAAGGGCGTTACACTCTCAGACACGTATTGACTTTTTTCTCTCCATTATTGACTTTTTGTCCTTTGCTTACTACGTAGCTTTTCAAACAGCAAGAATATGCAGTATTTCCTTTGCATCCATGTACAATATTGTTCCAGGGTTGCCACGCACCTGGAAAACAGGGAAAACCTGGAATTGTCAGGGAAAATGAAACCATGTCAGGGAGAACCGGGAATACCTGGAATGTCAGGGAATCTGTGGAAGACAGGTCAAATCTCAACTTTCTTGCCAAAAAGTCAAAGTGCCATCCGCGGATGGACATCCTTTCCACGCGCGACAACTCCCTTGAAAAATTGGCCAAAATGTCAGGGAAAATGGCAAAAAATGTCTCTGAAAAACCTGGAAATGTCAGGGAAATCCAAAATCCCAAAAGCGTGGCAACCCTGTGTTCACTGTAAAGACTTAATTGTCATCGATTATTGACTATTTTTTAAGTTCATTGCGTATTGTCTCTTTGTCAACAGCAAATTTACTTTAAGTCAATATAGCAAACAAAATCTTAAATAGATATTGACGAAAAAGTACCTTTTATTTCTGTTAAAAAACCGTTCAACAATGGACGAAAAGTCAATAGCAGTCTGAGATTGTAAGCTTGGCTGCACGCTTGAAAACCTTACAAAGTATATTGAGCATTATGCATACTCAGTGCGGTAGAAAGCTACGGAAAATTCAGTAAACAGTTTGTGGTAATCCTCCGTAGCCTTCACTGTCAATATTCTCTGTAGGACATTACAGAGGTCCCTCGGAGGATACTATAAGAGCCTACGGAGAATATTGATTTGAGGGCTACGGGGAATCTTGGCAACCTAAATTAACAGAATTTTCCGCACCTTTTTGCCGGAGTGCTAATTTACTTAATTATCCGAGGTAATAGTATTTCGTAAATTATGAAGTATTTTTGTTGTAAGCCTATGTATGCTCAAAATGCATTGTTATATCCAACGGCTTTTCTATGTAAGGCCCAAAATAGTGTAGAAGGTTTCCTGAGTGTGTGCACATCCCGTCCCTACTCACCTCCATACGTTAATATCATGCGAAACAGACCCCCCTCTATTCAAGTCCGTAACGTAATAAATGGACGTCCCCTCACTACTGCGTTTTTGGCGTTCGCTCCACGAGCAAGCTCACATGGGGTGTGTACACTCTCAGCACGTTTTTGACTTTTTGCTCATTTTGTCAGTACTTACGCAAGTAATTTATGCAACCATAATTCGTACTTTTCCTGTTATTAAAGAACTACTTAGGAAATATTAAATAATGTACTGAAAATTTTGTTTTTGTACATACTTTGAGGAAGGAAATTGGTCACACTAACTAAAGAAATTACTAAGAATTATGGCTGTTTATACAAATACGTATACTTATACATTTAATGAGGAAAAAGTCAGCATCGTGCTGAGAGTCTAAGCTGAACCAGCAGTACGTGGTGCTAATGGCATTTTTTCTTTCGTCTTTTTAAGGATCAGCAACCCTTACTGGAGTTCTGCCCGTCAGACGCCTTCCATCTTCAGGCCATATTGCTGCCCAGTCTCGTCGGACGGTTGACGCAGTTTCACCGACTTCGGAGCCTGTGTCTAAACTCCCACTTCGCGCATCCGGACGTTCTTGCCGAAGTGCTGTCTTTGCCCGGCATTCGGCACTCGCTGTGGGACCTGGATGTCATCATCAAACCGGGTCATTGGGAAGGTAAGGCTGACACTGGACACATGCGACATTGAACTTAGACTAGGTTTTACAAAAGATCCTCAATTACTGACAAGTTTTTACTAATGGCCCATTCAGAAAAGTGGAGCATATGCAGCTTGGACATCTCTAACATATTTGTTGAAACTTAATTATATCTTTGTTTAAATAGCTTTGTAGTGGTTAATTATATCTTAGATTAAATAGCTTTATAGTGGTTACATTAGCCGTTCTGATCGTTGGATGCTGTAATCTTTTTAAAATAAATAGAAAAATTTGAAAGTGTCACTCACAACCTTTTCCGACAAAAATGTGTGTGCAAGGGGATATTCAGCCATTAGAGGCTCTTTGACTAGGACATGTGCCGGCAAAACTAAGATTTGAATCTGAACTAAGACTTCTTATTTCTAACAATTTTATCTCATAAAATTTAATATTGCTTTGTATTTCTGCAGAGAATATTAGGAACTATAAAGAAACTTGAGAGCAATCCGACCAAAACTGTTGCGCTGAATCCTTTTGCAAGGCAAAATAGTGCAGTTGCAAGATTCCAACAAATGTAGCCTTACAACTTCTTTTCCTCATTGTTTACTTTTTGTTATTGCAATTTGGATGTTTGACAATATATTCGCTTCCAACTATGAAATATTTGTTCTTGAAACTTACATTCAGGATTTGCTTGGATCATTTCAAAATTACTTAAAATTTTAAACACGAGAAATTTTGTTTCCAAAATAGTAATGGCATCACGATCGTATTTTGATTTCTAGTTGCTAACCGTAAGATTAACTTAAACTCAAAGTTGAGGCACCCGACTTCCATTAACTTTGGAGTTACTGAAGTTTTCGTAACAAATTTAGTCGTTGGTCTAAATTCTCCGTGCCAAGAACCAAATGCTGTTGAGACTTAAATGTTGCTTTACAAGCTCATTTTTGATTTGCCTACCCCGTGGCAAAGCCGGATTTAACCAAATCCAGTACAAAATGAAAAAAAAAACCACATTTTCCAAAAAAAAAAAAAAGGCCAGCCACCCAATGTATGTGTATGTTTTTAAATCTGGCTTTGCTGGTCTGTTTGCATGTCCATTGGGCTTTAATATAAAAATTCACACCTCCATAAACTTTTTGGTACTTTGCAAGGAGAAATTTTAGTAAACGATTAAAATAATTCTAAAACCTTCGTAACTTTGGAACGAATGGGAGTTGGGAGTTCAGGCTGTAGGCTGTGGCTGTAAAAGTTTTTCATAGTAAGCAACTAATCACCAAAAGGAAAGCACTGGCACCCATACTTTCGAAGATAGTCTTTTTACCTCTCAATAATCTGCTAATGGTTATTAATTCAGCTTTATTAGCAGATATTTCACCTACTCCTCGCATTAAGACGAACACCTCGCCGACTGATGCCCGACTTGCTTGTAGATGGAGAAGGTCTGAGCGTGCAGGCACTGCTGGAACTGCTTCGTGGCTTCGAACACCTCCGGAAGGTGCGCCTCATAGGCCTGTCCGTGAGCCCCGATGCCCCCCAAAGAGGTCCTTGGAACCTGCGGGGCCTGATGAAGAGTCTGCCCCAGGTCAAGGCGATAGTTCTGGACGTAGATCCCTGCATGCTGCCTCTGGACGTGTTGGTGCCTCACGAAGGGTGAGTCAATCATTGTTTTTCGCAAGTACTAGTATTTCTGATTGGTGTTCGGCCATTACAGCTGTCATACCTCGATCCGTTTTCGCTCGGCAATACGTTCATTCATGCATGTATGGGTACATATATGAAATGCTAAAGTACAATGCAAATTAGAGCCCTCGCCTTAATTGCCTATATCAGGGATGTCCATAAGTTTCAGCCCACACACTAAGTTATTATGTAGGTTTTTCTGCGCGTCAATGCACGAAATCAAACGTGCATTTCGTAACGCAGGAATTTGTGCGCGACAACGCACGATTTCGTGCGCAAGTGTGCAGAAAATCGTGCATTGTTGCGCACAAATTTGTGCGTTTCGAAGTGCATGTTTTATTTCGTGCATTAGCGCGCAGAAAAACCTACATAGTAATTAAGGCCAGGGACAGGTGAAAAAATTATCTCAGAAACTGCTGGTCCAAAACTTCTTATTTTCTGTCAAAATCTTACTCCTAATGAAAAACTATTTCACCCAAAATCCCATCCCATAATATCAAGCGGTTCCTAAGATACAGGCTTTTTTATAATTTTGTAAGTGTTTGTTAAAAAATTTCTGTGCGTTTCCCATTTTGGTTTATTGACCTAACCGACATATTTTTTTGTTCGTCTAAGTCCAAAGAACAAACGCAAGTGACAAATTTTAGTTTCCGGCACTGATATCAAAATACCAAATTTTCAACTTCGACATTTTTCAAAAACCAAAGATTTTCCCTTTTTTTTTGTAAAAACCAATATCCAAAACCATACTTCTGGGTGGAATTTACGAAAACTGTCACTTGCGTTTCCTCGCAATAACCTACTGAGTCAGTGGAAAAAATATCATTGACGACACTTCAAACTGTATGCGCACAGGACCATTCAAATGTTGAAAAAATGTCTTCGGAGAAAAGGGCGTTTAAAGTTTGGTGACAGATTTTGATGGATTTTCAGCCAAAACAATCTTCTTGCGCATACTATTTTGTCGTAAAAGGTTGACCTGGATATTTTTCACTTCTTCGATTCATTTTTTTTAAGATACCAGCATGCACAACTGAAAATGTACAATGTCAACAATGTACAAAATAGACAAGTTTTAGTGACTGCTTAGATGAAAAAAGCATGTGATTACTAAATAATGGAAATTTTGAACTAGGCATGCTGGAATCTTTTTAAAATGAATCGAAGAAGTGCAAATGTGAAGATGAGCCTGAAGATGAACAGTCCAAACAAGACAATTCGACTGGGTTCAAGACCTGGCATATGCCTTCAAAAATCAAATCTTAGCCTCTTCATGAGCTCATGGTCTCTTTGAAGTATGATTGGCTGAGCGATAGCGAAGCCCGTTACTCAGGTGGGGTTGAAAAGTTTTGTCTGTCTGTCTGTCTGTCTGTGTGTCTGTCTGTCTGTCTGTCAGCACTACTCCTCCTGAACGGCTCGGCCGATCTGGCTGAGATTTTGCACACTTTTTGGGTATGTCCTTGGCTCGGCACACGCGAAATTTCACTATCCTAGCTCAACTGGTTCAGTTTTTATAGCCGAAAAACACCTAAGAAACGGCGAAAATCGAGTTTCCTGCCGGCAAATATCTTCTGCCTTGAAGAAAGGGGGGTCAGGGGGGCAGAGCCCCCCAGCCCCGGCAAGTTGAAAAGTAACAAGGGTCAAGATCGTGTTATCTGTGGATGAAGCAACTCTATCTGGAATGAAGGGGGGTCTGCGGGGCGGAGCCCCCCAGTATGCAACAATTTAGAAGTAACCGACGATGGGCAAGCCATGGCCTGCCGAAGGCAGGCTAGCGCCGCAGGCCAAGGTAGGTCCGCCAGGCGCGGATTGGAGGAACAGGCAGCGAGACATCGCGAAGCCTGTTACGACAAGACGCGGTCTGGCGTAAACCTACCTTGTTTCATATTCCCAACAAATTATGACAGTGGGGTTCATTTTGAAAATGGCAAGATTTTCACCAGAACCCCCCCTTGATGGCAAAACGGACAATTTTACTAAAATGTCGGAAATGCAGAAGTGTGCTAAAAGATGTATTTTAAGGGGGGACTATACTGAAAATGGGTTTTTCCAGGATTACCAGTGCAGAAATTTTCTCTTGTTTTCTTTTGATAGAATATTACTCAAAACTATTTCAGCCGAAGTATGAAAATTTTCGGCCAAACGGTTTAGGAGATATTCCGAGGTAAAGTTAAAAATATATGTTCACTAAAAAGTTTCCTTGCGTCGTATTTTTGATGTCAGAAAATTCTACTTATCGTTTTTATTGTCCTAAAGACCTGTTCTATAGGTTCTCTAAGCCGCTTGTTTCATTTTCGATCTCAAAACCTTTTTTTTCATACGCGCTTTTTTTACAAACAAAAAATGGTCAAAATTGCTTAAAATTGACCAAAAACTGACCATTCTCTAGTGACATTCAAAAATTCTGACCAAAATTCAAAAATCCGGCTTAGAGACCCTGTGGGGAACAGCTTAAGGAACATCTGGTAAAAATTTTAGCCACGTAGATAAAAATTTATGACGAAAGGGAAACTTTTTAACGTTAAAACTAAAATTTTGAAAAAACACGAGAAAACGTACACTTTGCGTGGGTCTACGCGACGCTGCCTTCCTTCCGTCGGCTTTTAAAGATTCTTAATATATTTTGTAAGAAGGAACAATGGCTGTACCGGCTAGACAAAGGTCTGAACAAGGTATTTTCGTGAAAATCCAATTTCACATTTTTGACCGAAAACGGCCATTTTTTCAGTATAGTCTCCCCTGAAGCACTTCCAGGTCCCGGATAGTCGAAGTCCCGACAGATCCTGAAACAGGAAGGTCCAAAGGACCACTTTCCACCCAGAACTCATTTCATTAAATTTCACCAAACTTCTTCATTTTTTCACCTGTCCCTGGCCTTAAGTGTGTAATTTTACCAGATTTTATTTTAGTTAGGATTGCTTTACTGGAGATCGTCAGTGGCTAAGGTTCGCGGTTAAATAGTTCTGGGTTGCTTGGGGCACGCTACTACACGGCTTAAACAGAGCAGCAGGGGTTTCTCCGGCGGCAAACCCTGGCAGATTTGTCCTCTTTTCCCAAGGTGACTTTGGGAAACCCGGATATAATCTTAGCTGTTTGGCCTTCGTTGGGGATTTTGAAAAATGGTCAAACAAAAGCCGGCAGAGGTAGTCAATAGTCTGAAATTTCCCTCATTGAGAGCTGACGAAACACAGAACCATGTTAGAACAACGATTGGCCGGTATGCCCTGCAGCTTTTCCACTGTTCAAAGCTCCACACTAAATGTTCATGTTAAATTTCTATTCGATACATTGCAGTTTTTTGTGGAGATAAAATTTTTGCACTTATATGTTTGCGATTTTGCAGTAAAAGAGTTAACCATGTGCAGGTTATAGTCACAAACTTTCATCTTAACCATAATGTGGTGACGGAGTGGCAAATTGCGTCCAACAGTTTCGTGTAAACCGCTACTTGTATTTCAAATCATTTCAAACTTATCACAACGAATTTCAAGGGGAAGCGTACACCAAAATTCATGCTGTTTCCCTCTCGACTGTGCCGTCTCTTACACTGTGAAAATTTGTTTTCACTTCATAACAAAAACGTGGATGATATTTTCATCACTTTCAAATGCTGACAATCTCATCACAAATTGGTGACATTTCATCAAAGGCCCTATACTTTTGGCATGGGCGTGTCAATAATGTCATTAATTGTATTAATGACATTGTTGTAAGGAAAGTTAGCCTTGAAATATTCGTCTAGTGACGACTCAAACTTTCACAGTGTACATGCAAATTAGTACATATGTGCTCTAAACATCGAAGAGCGCACATTGTGAGCATGCCTGCAAGCACGCTCTAGCTAGCGCATGCCTGCCAAGCATGCACCCACCAGCGCATACATGCCATGTACACGCTAACCGAAGCGCATCTAGTGCGTAAGGGATAGGGAGTTGCCTGCATCAGGAAGCGTGACCATGGCATGCATGCATGCACCAGTAAGTGCACGCTTGGCAGGCATGCGCTAGCTAGAGCGTGCTTCTAGGCATGCTCTAGTTTGAGCATTCAATGTACGCTCTTTGATTTGTAGAGTGACCTTCCCGCTTCATCGTGTGCTTCCAGCGGCGAGTCCGTGGTGCCGGACACGCTGACCGCCCTGAAGCTGGAGCGCTCGACAGTGTCGGTGCAGGCACTGCACAAGCACTCCGCGGAGGACAGCTGGCTGGTGGAGCTCCGCCAGGTCATGAGGACGGCCCCGCGCCTCCACGTCATCATCGAGGCCTCGTCCTGCTTCGTCGCCGATCGGCGCCTCTCCAAGGTCGTCATCATGCCCCACCGCGTGGCCGAGGCGTGCAAGGTCAAGTACACTACGAAACCATGGCATACGGCGTAATGAAATTTTCAGTCTCCGCACTTGGAGGTGCAGGCAGAGTTTGCAGTTTCCACCGAACTCCCGATATTCCCAACGCTAATGAAAATCCTGGGGGGGGGGGGTCGTTTTACAAAGCTGGGGAATGCTTCATACTGCCAAACATTTTCACGACTGTGCCACGTACGTTGTCGACATGAGCAGCTGCAGACAAGCACGGCCAAAGTCAAGCCCCCCCCCTTCCCCCGCCTCTCCCCTCTTCTTTGCAAAATCCTTCTCCCTCTCCTGATTTGGCACATAACAACTGCTGGGGAGTTTCCAAAAGCCAGGGCAGGGACAAACCAGGACAAACAACTCTGGGGTTTTCCTTCGCGGAAGCGCTAATCCCGGAGTCTGCCAGGGACCGCTGGCGCCTCAGGTATATAGATCTCTTTGCCCCTCCTACGGCTCCCTCCCTGGACCAAGGTCATATGACCTTACCCTGGACCGTCGTTGCCTAGCAACGCGAGCCAAACAAATCTCAGGAATGCACTGGATTCCAAACGCTATGAGTATAGCACGAATGGCGCAATGCACTGAGATATCGCACCATACGTGCAATGCCTCAGCCATATTGAACCTTACGTGCAATGCGTGCCGAGAAGGCCCTATGCTAATTGATCCTTGAAGCGGAAGAAAGGGGATAACTCAATTTTCATCATTTTTCAGGAGAAACAAAAAACTGTTTGCAGTGAAAAGTAAATCCATTTAGATGATGGATGTAATTGCATTTTTGTCAAAAAAGCATCAGTAATAACTAAAAATTTTTAAAAGTGTAACATCACTCTGTAGACGGTTTCTGTGATTTAAATCTTTACATTAGAATGAACTAAGGAACCATGTTTACTTAGTTCTCCCAAACGAGATGGAATATGTAGACAACTCAAGTGGAACTGAGGCCTGCGTAGAGTCTATATTGCTGTGGAACATTTTTAGAGTTACCTCTTTTTCCATTAGTTTTTAAATGAATTCGGAGTCAAGTTGAGTTGACTCTTTTTACATCAGAGTCATAAAGACCTAAGTTGAGTTGACTCTTTTTACGTTAGATTCATAAAGACACAAGACTCCTTTTGCTATTTTGTGAAACGGAGTAATGTGGACATCGGTTGAGTTGAATCCATTTTCCAATGAACTTTAGACCGTGAAAAGGGTCAAGTTGAGTTGTATCCATTTTCCATGTGGATTTTCTCCTAAACTGCTGGGAATTGAGTCAAATAATTTGGTGTAAAGATGCAAACTATCCTGAGGCACAATAATAAGATAAAAACTCAACTTGGAGATAAGTCAACTTACTCCCTTCTTCCGCTTCATGGATCAATGGTAAAGAGTCAAGTCTTGAAAGAAGTGGAATTTGGAGGCAAGTCAAGTGAAAACTATAGTTGATCCAGGAAGCGGAAGAAGGGGATAACTCCATTTTGACCATTTTTCAGGAGCAACAATAAACTGCTAGCAGGGAAATCTAAAACTGAACAGTGGAATGTTATAGATAATAACAAGTCAAAAAAACGTAGTTTAAATTTTGAGATAAACATCAGGAGTGTCAAGTCACTGCGTATGGGATATCTGTGACTTATCACTTTCCGCTAAAATGGAAAACAGAGTCATCTCAACTTATATATCTTAAACGAAGTGGGATTTGGAGACATGTCAAGTGGAACTAAAGTCAGCAGAGAGTGTTGGTTCCTCTGGTGCATTTTTTGGACTTAGCTCTTTTTTTCGATTAAGTTCTTAAAATTAAGGGGGGGTAAGTTGACTTGATTCCTTTTACAATGGATGGCGAATTATTCCCTTCTTCCGCTTCCTGGATCACTGTTATCATGAAGTGTTTGTTACTCATGTGTACGTTTAGGACTTAGCTCTTTTTTCTGTCATTAAACTAAGTTGACTTCATTCTTCTAACAATCGATACATATAAACACAAGTTGAGTTATCTCCTATTGATAATATTTTCAATGGAGTCGTGTTGACTTTGGTTAGCTCTCTCCTTTTTCTGTTGGGATTTTCTCCTCAACTGCAAGGAATTAAGTCACATAATTGGGTGCAATGATCCAAACCATACCAAGGCACAATAATAGAATTAAAATCTGTTTTTGGAGATAAGTGGAGTCATTTCTTTCTTTTGCTTCCTGGATCAAATGAGATACTTGTGATATCCTGGATCCTGAACTTTACTCCTACGAAGCCTTAACGTTACCATAGATGATTAAGTTATGACCTAACTTTTAATACTTTAATTCTTTATTTGATGAGTACTTTCTTTATGTGACGAGTTATTTTTTCTAGCTTCTGGACTTTAAAAGCATAGTCTTCATACCTTTAATCTCAAACTAACATTGCCACAAAGTACGATGTTTAACCAGTGTTTAACCAGCAAGTTCATTTTGGAGTGAAATTTTAATCATCTTTAAATGAATTTATTCTTTTTGTTGGAGGCTCTAAGCCACATGAGTTTCTGAGTTATGGAGGTTTCCGTATACTTTTAGTCATCTGTTCCAAATCCTCATGACAGAGAAAACAGTTCTGAGACATCTGATTCTGGCAATTGTACCTTTCAAAAAATGACTAATAAGATAGTGTGCCTCATCAGGAGAGTTCAGTCCATTTTTTTACGATGCATATATTTTCTTTGTTCTTATGTAAGAGATTATGACACAATTTGATCGGTATTATTTTTGTTTTGAGAAAACTTGAAGAGATATTTGTAAATGAACACCGCTTTCTTTTCCTTATGCCATATGAGATTTATTTGCCAAGACTTAAACGTCAATGCAGAAGAAGGAAACTTAAACCCTTCAATTGTTGAACTTCCACGCACCCCGTTCAAACACCTCTGCCTTTCTCTTGGTTTATCGGAGTATAGCTTGTTACAACTTGATCTTTTTTGTTGACAGGATTGCCCTGGTTTCCCTGCACCACAGAGAGGATTTTCGACAATCTACATTGAAGACTACTTCCTCTAGCTGTGATGTTCACTGTACTGCATATGTTTTTTTCTACTGCTTTTATATTTGATCTTTGAAACTTTGACTTTTAATAAATTAGAATAAGTAAAGATTCATTATTTTTCTTAGGCGTCTTGTCGTTGCAATGTTGTAATATTCTGTTCCATAAAAGAGCGGCGGTGCTCGGTACCTTATGAGCTATTGACCCTTTTTGAGTTCCCATGGCTTCCATCCCTGGACCGCCGTTATCTGCATGCCACCGCGAGTCAAATCGTAGGCACACGACTCGTGCCAATTTGTACACATGATACCAACGATTCGCCCCTCGGTGCAGGCAGATGCGCTCCGCTGCTGGAAATTCCGCCGAGCACGTTCGGGCAGCGTGGGGTGTGCTGGGCACCTTCGGGCGTGGCGCGACCTGCGTTCGGGCGCGTTCGGGCGCCGCCGAAGCCGAAGGCGTGCGACTCGAGCGCCCTCTACTCGGCTGCCTGGCCGCCTCGTGCCACGGAGAACGAGAACGCCAGGCCAGTAGTCAGCCGTCGGCCGCGCGCCGCGCGCTGGCTCCTCCTGCCCCTCCAGTCGGCTCGGCTCACTGAATGTTGAGGTACAAGTATGTACGTGGTGCTGCATAATTGTTAACTTGTGTAGTCTAGAAACTGAAGAGATTGCATGGCATGCTCCTCCTAGGAGTCAACCACAAAGCACGCTCCTCCCAAGAGCATGCTTGCAAGCACTCTCTAGGATGAAGCGTGCTGCCTCACTATTATATGGACTTAAATCAACGAAGAGGCACGCTTTCATCCTAGAGAGTGCTTGCAAGCATGCTCTTGGGAAGAGCGTGCTTTGTGGTTGACTCCTAGGAGGAGCATGCCATGCACTCTCTTCAGTTTCTAGAGTACCGTCGTGCATAAGACTGTGCGTGAATTTGCATAAATGTATGCGTCTTTACGCATGATATTATGCGAATCCCACGTATGCACATAATCGTGTAAGTGGCACGTACAAAATTCTACCTAAACATTTAGTGTGTAGGTCAAGGCTCTCCGCGTCCATCGCTGCGTCCTGCTGTCATCGCCTGAGGTTCGTGCACTGCAAACTCTACGTCAAAACCAACGTCCGAGTTTCCCAGACGCACCCTGGAAAACAGCGCATTTTTCCAGGGTGCGCCTGGGAAACCCGGAAGTTGTTTTTGCCGTATCAACTGTCTACTGAGTGTACAAATGCATTCTTGCAAGTGCACACTAAATTACTACTGTGTACTCTTTCTGTGCATAAGTTTTGCTGAGAGTTGTGCTTGCGTTCTGAAATGCACGAATTTGTGCGCAACTAGGCACGAAGGTGTGCGTTGTTGTGCATGATTTCGTGCGTTTCACGCGCATGCGCTAATGCTGTGCACAAAAAAAGGACACGTAGTAATTTAGTGAGCACACGTTTACTATTGCAAATGCGGCAAGTACTCTCTTACCAGCTGCATGCTTGGCACCGTCACTTCATGCTACGCAAGTGCGATTGAAGGTGTGCTCGTGTTCAGTATGCTCTTGTAAGTGTGTACTTGTAGATATGCATTCGTAAGTGTTTTGTCAGTAGGCAGTGAGGTTTGTAGTGTGCACGCACTGTGAACACACTTAATCACTTTGTAGTTCTCTGTGCACAAGCTTTGCACGAAACTGTTCATTCGTTTCAAATTGCACGAATTGGTTCGCAACTACGCATTTGTGCATTTCGTAACGCATGCACAGTTTCGTGCAAAGTTTATGCACAAAAAGCTACATAGTAATTTAGTGCAAAGGTGCCGCATCGGCGTTGGCGTTCCGTACGGCGAAGACAGTGTACGGGTTTCCCAGGCTCACCTCGGAAAAAGTGAGATGTTTTCCCAGGATGCGCCTGGGAAACCCCGATTTTCGGTCCCAGAGACCCTGTAGAGAATAGAGCGTGATCGGAGCGCTTTGAACGGACTGCTCCTGAAGGCTAAATTGGAACGTCGTCCGAAACTGTGGCAAAGAAGTACGGAAAATCCGGTAATTTTTTTGCCAAGATTCTCCGTAGGCTCTTACAGTATTCTCCGTAGGACATTATTCACTCTACAAATAATGTCCTGTCAACGCCGTTAATTTATTACCAATGTTTGCTGTTATGCAATTCACGGCGTTTGCTGTGAACTAGTTCACGGCGTTCACTGTGATCTCGGTTACAGTGTTCACTGTGATCCGGCCACAGCAAACGCCGTGAATTGGAGCCTGATTTGCAGTCCTTCGGTGCTCAGCGGCGTCAAACTCACAGTGTTTACTGGGGACCAGATCACAGTGAACACCGCGAACAAGATCACAGTGAATCCCGTGAGCAGTTCACAGTAAACGCTGTGAGACCTACAGTGAAAACTGGTAATGAATTAACGGTATTTACAGGACATTTTTGGTAGAGTGTTGTCCGTAGGGCCGGACAGTCTTCTGGAAGAACGTTTAGACCTACGGAGATCACTGTAAGGTCCTAAGGAGAATAATGCAAGGTCCTTCAGATAATATTGACAAGCGGGCTACACTGCGAAAAATCAGTGTCTGATACGGAGCATGCTACGGCGTTCCGTATACCCCCTGAAATGGTGATACGGACATCTGCCGTACCACTCCTCCCATAAGAGCCTGCGCTTTGTAAAGCGTGGTACGGAAATTTAACGGAAAATGTACCGCTGATTTTAGACCGGAGGTTGCCGTTTCGGTTTTCCGTTTGTGAAAAAGTTCAAAATGCTCTGCGGACAGTGAGAAACGGGCGCTCCGTAACTCAAATTTCTGTAACGAATAACGTGCAAAGGTCAGTCCGTATCCTTACGGAGTGGCCGTCTCTTGCGTTTTGTCAGAGAACTTTGCGTTACGGAGCGTCCGTTCCTCACTGTCCGTAGAGCATATTGGACTTTTTAACAAACGGCAACCTGCGATCTAAAATTAGCGGTACATTTTCCGTTAAATTTCCGTACCACACTTTACTATGCACAGGCTCTCATGGGAGGAGTGGTACGGCAGATGTCCGTATCATCATTACAGGGGGTATACGGAACGCCGTAGCATGCTCCGTATCAGAAACTGATTTTTTGCAGTGTACGGAGAAATACCACAAGCTATTTACAGAATTTTCCGTACCTTTTTGCCACAGTGGAGCGTGTGCATCCGAGCGCCAACGAAGCGTGAGCGGAGCGTGCGTGCACGAAGCGCATGGCATGGACTGCTCCCGGACACGTAACACGTAAAAACAGAATTTGTTGGGACAGCGAAAATGTCTGTTGAGTTTGGGATAGCTAAAAATAGTTGTTTGGGGTACTATCAATTTTTTGTGAGAACGAACATTTCGTTCTGACAACAAACGATATCGTCAGGAGTACTAAAAAACATAAAAATGAATGTTTGTACTCCTGACGAATTATTTGTCGTGAGAGCAAAGTGTTCGTTCTCACAGCAAATTGATAGTACCCTCAGCAACTTGCTATCCGAAAATCAACATTCATTTTCGTTGCCACAGCAAATTCTTTTTTTTTTTTCGGGAACGAAGCGTGCCACGCTGGCCGGGGAGCTTGCCGCGGCCGTGAGCGACGTGTGACTTGACTGTGCCTACACTGAGACAAGGTGGTGCCCTGAAACTGACCGACCTAGTTTTAGGGCGACTAGAGTCGCCTTCTTTCTGGGCGACACAGTCTTCTAGTTTTAGGGCATCTTAGTCATGTAAATACTGAGCTTACTTATCTATGCTGGCCCAAGGCATTGCACACAAGTTTGCCTGCACATGGTTTAACTCAATGGATTTCACATTTGGGTGGCGTCAGAGATGCCCCAAATCTGGGCAGCAGTTGTTTACATTAGGTCGGACCAACCCCAAAGGTGCTCAGGTTGTGGCGCCTTGGGCCAGCACAGATAAGTAAGCTCTGTGTTTACATGTCCAAGATGCCCTAAAACTATGCGACTCATGTCGCCCTAAAACTGGGGCGGGCGACTTAGTCGGTCGGTTTCAGGGCACCACCTTGTCTCAGTGTAGGGGCGTGAGGGGGCTGTTACCGGAGTGTGCGTGAGGTGTGTAGTTACTTGGCAAAATTCGGTGTGGTTCAACCTCCAGTACAAAGCCTGCAAATATGAATACAAATAAGAAAAGTTATCTGCGCAAACCCCACCAAAAATGTAGAATTATGGATGATTACTCACAAGGAACATGTTCTGCCCCCTCCACAATTGCATGAGCCGTGGTCTGCTGGGTTTACTGGGATTTCCACATCCCTAATTAAACACTGATCTTCGATCAATTCTAATTCTTCAATGATATCGTCATCTTCCACTTCGTTATCTTCCGTATCTTCCTCTTCTACCCAGTCATGGTCATCTTCGTCATTTTCGTCTCCCTCTTCGCTTTCGAAGTATGAGAATTGACCAGTTTGTCACTGTCGTTGTTGTCTAGTTCTGGCACAGGCCTACGAATGGGTGAAAGACACAATTGGTACTAGTGCCGATTCAGAGAGTGGCAACCTATTAATAGTCAGATAAGAAGAGCAGAAATGGTCTCGACCATTAGGAATCATGGACCAGAAAGGACCATCAGACCTACGAGCTTTGTTTACATAAACTATTCGAATACAATACGTGGTCTGATTCGCTCTTGTGCACCAACTTTCCTTTGACCACTTTCGGACCTGTCACAGCTGAGTCTTGGGGAGCTATTTTGCGGGATGGCAACATGTAGGCTGAATACTCTAGAGAACCACAAACTGCAACCTGGATGATGTCACAATCAGCTTGGAAACCTGTTGTTTCAAGATCTATATAAACATAGGCACAGTCAGGCTGGAGCACAGATGTAGGTGGAATCCAAGAGGTGATAAAATCATCTGATGTAGCGGCTGACGTGAGATGGCAGCCACAGCTCCCTCCATCACACTGCCCATTCCTGGCGTATGTGATACCACCAGAGCTGAGCTCCCTCGCTTCTTACTACCTAGCCTGCAATTTCAGCTGAACGCGCCTCTTCTTCACGTTGGGGCAATTTCTGATACTCCCCTTGATTTCAATGGCCTTCTGGAGGTATTGTCTATACTTGGTTACCGATGGTGACAACTCGGAAGCAGTGAAAATCTCTTCA